AGAAACTGTATCTTGTAAATTATCTACGATTAATACAACATCATCTGCAATCTTAGGTGATTTAATCTTTCTCCATCTATATCGATGCCCATATCTTGCCATTGAGTGCTCTTAAATATTGACTCTAGAGCTGCCGTGAACAATTTTGGTGAAATATTGTCTCCTTGTCTAACTCCTCGACCTAAGCTGAATTTTTCTTTGTCTTCATGTAGTCGTATACTTGATGTAGCGTTCTCGTGGATGTTTTTGATTAGTGTCGTGTACCTGTAATCTATTCGGCTTTGATTTAGGGCTTCCAGTATTGTTTCAAACTCTACAGAATCAAAAGCCTTGTCGTAATCGACAAATGCAAGAACCAGTGGTATGCTATATGTTGTCGAGTACAACATACCACTGTTAATAATGAACCCTTGAAAATAGTCGACAAAATTACATATCTTGGATGCAGCCTAAATAAGGAATGGGGCCACTCACAGGAAATAAGATGTCGTATAGAAAAGGCGAGAGCTGTCTTCAATAACCTTAGGAAGATTTTATGTAATATGCACCTGAACATTGATATCACAACACGAGTCTTGAGATGCTATGTATTTTCTAAACTTTTATATGGAGTCGAAGCCTGAATCTTGACGCAGGCAACATCCAAACGACTAAAAGCCTTAGAAATATGATAATACCGACACATGTTCAAAATTTCATATATCCATCATGTTACGAAGAACATCGTGATCCAACGTATGAATAAAGATCTGGAAATTATGCGTATCGTGAAAATCAGAAAGATGACATACTTAAGGCATGTGATGCGCAATGAGCAATATCAACGAATTCAACTAACTTTACAAGGCAAAATAGAAGGCAAAAGATCTCAAGGGCGCAGAAGGACATCGTGGTTGAAGAACACCAGACAGTGGGCAGGAATGACTACCACACATCTATTTAGAGCAGCTGTTATTTAAAAAAGAAGAAGAAGGCATTTGATCGAATCAAATTAAAGGACGTTATCTACTTATTGTTCACAAGAGAGATACCTCTAGGAATAAACAAAACGATAGAAAATTTCTACAAAAAGAACACCTTAAAAGTAAAATTAGAAGAAGAACTAACCGACCCTATTGAAGCTTGCAATAAGATAAGACGAGTCTATTATTCAGCCTAATTATGGATGAAATAATAAAAAAAGTAAGAACTAAAAAAGGATACCAAATGGGAGAAAAACAACTTAAAATAATCTGCTATGCAGACGACGCAATACTACTCTCTCAAAGTGAAGATGATTTACAACGTATGCTGCACAATTTAATATAACCGCCACAAAATTTGACATGTTAATTTCGCCAAAAAAGACAACAAACATGGTTACACCAGCAAATATACTAAGATGTAAATTGGAGCTGGAAGGTCAGATAATAGAACAAGTGATGGAGTTTAAATATCTGGGCATCACATTATCTAGCTACGGAAAGCTCGAAACTGAAGTAGAAGATTAAGTGAATAGAGCAAACAAAGACGCAGGCTGCCTGAGTGAAACAATATGTCTTCTTCTTCTGGTTTCTATCCGTTTCGGATGTTGGAAATCATATTGGCAATCATAACCTTGCTCGCTGCGGCTCGAAACAGCTCCCCGTTGAGGTTTTCTTAAACCATGTTCTTAAATTCCGCAGCCATGATATTCTCCTACTACCGGCTCCTCGCTTACCTTTGACTTTACCTTGCAATATAGACTGTAGCAGGGAGTAACGGTGCTGATTTCTCATAACGTGTCCCAGATATTGCAATTTTATGCGTTTGATCGTAAACACAATCTCTGGTTCCTTCTTCATTTTTTCTAGAACTCCCTTGTTCGTGATCCTTGCTGTCCATGATATTCTCAGCATTCTTCTATAAAGCCACATCTCAAATGCTTCAAGTTTTTTAATAGTGGTAAATGTCTCATTTTTATATCAAGGGATATGTTGTGACTTTTGAAGATGGCGCTCATTTTGTTAAAGACCGTTCTTGCCTTTCCTATGCGGCACTTTATTTCCTGTAAATTGCTCCACTGTTCATTAATAATAGTTCCCAGGTAACAATACTGTTTTACTCGCTCTATCTGCGTCCCATTAATGTATAGATGAGCCCCGTTTATATTCTCCTTGCTGATAATCATTTGTTTCGTTTTGTGGTTATTAATGTTTAGTCCGTACTGTTGACTGTACTCGTTTATTCTGTCCATTAGCCTCTGAAGTCCCTCTAAAACCATTTAGAAGGATGCCTTCGTCTATTCCGTAAAGAGCCTCGTTAAAAATTTTCTCTGAGTACATATTAAATATCAACGGCGATAGGATACATCACTGTCTAACTCCACGTAGTATTTTTATGTGATCTGTTTCTTCTCCGTTAATTTTCATGTATGCGGTCTGATTCCAGTAGAGTTCTGAAATTATTCTGAGGTCTTTGTCATCCAGGTCTGCCTCTTTTAAAATGTTTATCATCTTTTGATGTTGAACTCTGTCAAATGCCTTTTCATAGTTGATCAAGCAGGCGTATACGTCGCAGTTAACGTCCCTGCATCTTTGAATCAGTACCTGTACTCCGAAAAGTGCCTCTCTGGTACCCACTGCGTTAATGAAGCCGAACTGTCTGTCCAATATTTGTTCCTCGCACTTCTTATAAATTCTTCCATGGATGACTCTAAGAAACAGTTTCAACATATGGCTCATTAGGCTGATTGTTCGATATCCTTCGCACTTTTTAGACCCCTGTTTTTTAGGTTTCGCTATGAATTCTGATTTTAGCCATTTATCAGGGATGATTCCTGTATTGTATATTTTATTGAATACAGCCGTGATCCAAATTATTCCTTCTTCCTCCAAGAGTTTTAAAAATGCAGCTTCGATATTATTAGGCCCTACAGCTTTCCTGCTTTTCATCCGTTTTATTGCTTCTTCTACCTCGGATTTAAGTATGTCCGGGCCCGTCATCCTCTCTGAAAATGGATACCTATAATCCGTTCTTTAATCTTGAAAAAGTGTCTCCAAATATATTCTCCATTTATCTTTCATCTCTTGGGTGTCAACGATTAATTTTCCATTGGTGTCTATGAGTTTTATTTGTGTTCGCTTTTTAAAAGTACCCGTTATTTCTTTTACCTTTTTGTGTACATTAAAATTGTCAGACTTGACTTGTAGTCTTTCTATTTCTGTACATTTCCCTACAGCTTCTTTTCTTTAGCTTCTCTTATTTTTCTTCTGATGTAAGTCTGCATTTTTTATGCTCATCTTTATTTCCTTTAAATAGCCTTCTGCGTTCCATTAAGTGAATGATTTCTGAAGTCATCCAAGATTTCTTCTTTGTTTCTTTGTTTGGTTTTAGCAGATCTTGTTTAGTTTTCTTAATTATTTCTTCGAATTGATTGATTTCTCGTTGGATGTTTCTTTCTTCTTTTAGTTGTTTAACTTGGTTGTTAATATATTCCCCCACTTGCTTTTTAACTTCCGGATGTTGCAGGGCTGTCATGTCGTAGTTAGGTCTAGACTTTTTCTTTATTGTCTTCAGTCTCACATTCATGACTCCCACTAAAGGTATGTGGTCAGATTCAATGAAACAATATGTAGAAATAAAAATATCGGGAAAGAAATGAAAGGCAAAATTTACAAAACAGTCATCAGTCTAATAATGACATATGTGGCAGAAAGACTACCTGACACAGAGACAACAAAAAATATGTTAGAAACAGCAGAGATGAAAATTAATGATAAAACACTATGTGACAGAGCTAGAATTACAGATATACGACGTAGATGCAAGGTGAAGAACATCAAGAACTGGGTAAGAAATGGAAGAATAGAATGGATCGATCATATAAGCCGAATGACAACAAATAGAGTAATGAAGACGGCAGGAGACGGATACCCAATAGGAAGACGATCAGTAGGAAGACCACGAAAATTAAGGAACGACAGCGTACTGGAGGCACATTAAAAAACGGAGTCATATCTACATAAAAAGAAAAAGAAGAATTTTTATTTACTAAAATAAATATTTCAAGGCTAGTAGTGAGCATGTGACGTGTAGAAAACACATCTCTGGAAACAAAAATGGAGATGCCGCCCCTGGCTCCTTTCCGTAGGAAGTCCTTTCTTAGGCAATGATCATGATAACAATAACAATGATAACCTTCATATTGTTTAAGTTGTCCAATCCTGGTATCCTTCAAATTTGTCTCTTATACACATACAGCAGTTCTGTTCTCTGCAATCAATTGTTGAATTATATCATATCGCGTCACAATTTCATTTAACTAATGTGAAGGTAACTAGGCAGATAGATTTTTAAAACTTTTTTAATGTATTTAAGAGATCATCGTCGTTAGGGGATGATTCCGCCCAGCGTTTTTACCTTGTTTAAGCTTTCTGCTTCTTCAAGGATGGTATTTTAAGTTTGGTGTGGGTTGCAGCTGCCGTCCTCTGAGATAGGTGAGTTATTTCCGCCTTACTGGAGCCGTGTGGACGAAGCCCGCTACTTAGTATAAGTTCCATGGGAAAACGGTTTCTTTTAGATTGTTGGCCTTTTTGTTTGTTTGAAAAATGCGTGGAGAATAGCTGTGGCTATGTCCTCGCCTAGGATCAGGTACTTATCGTTGTGCAATGAGATTGGGAAACCACAGAAAACCAATCTCCCCCTGTCCTTGTGATATTTAATTCGACTCTTAAGGAGTGTGTGTGGTGCTCACTGTATATAATTTGGTGTTGTGATTAGGTGTTTATGATTGTGGAATGTTGGTATATTTATTGGTTGTGTGCTGTTGGCTTTTCTATATGTTTATGATTGTGAGCTTGGAGGAGGTAAAGTGTTTATATGGGTAAATGATAGTGTATGTTTGTGGATAATTGCGATACTAATATTTGTTTTAAACCAAGCAGACAAATGTTTTATGAAGAATTTGCACCATAGTTCATAATTTCTATTGTTAAATTCAAAGATATAAAAATCTTACGTTTAACAACTGGTTTACTTACCTTAATGGCTAGGTTGTCTGTATCAAAGTGTCCTTCTCGGACTCTGTTGATTTCTTTTTGTGTTACACCAGGAATATAAAGTTCACAGTTGTCGTGCCAGATTTTAAAGTCGGTCTTCAATGGTTCGCCGAAATCCTAAAAGGAAATATTATAATATCTCATAGTGATAATAAAAATCGTTTAATGTACAGTGAACGACTAAATTATGGAATATTATCATTAATATGAAATTCCGAAACAGGTCGATTTTATTATAAAATATCTATGTTATAACGTACATGGAGTAGAGATGATGTCATCGATGTAGATGTAGTGACGTAATCGTTAATTGTTTTAAAAAGAAATCGGTATAATGCAACACACACCTGATTTAAACGATAATTTAATTATCTATTTAACGACATTACATTTTTAACTAAAATATATTTTTTAAGGGTACAAAAACAATTGTTTTTAATTTAAATTCAACTAAATTACAACTAATGATTTAATTAATAATGTACTTTAAAGTAACCAAATTATGCATAATAGTTGTTTTAAATTAAATGTTCGAAATGCCATCCTGCCATGACTTTCTGAAGTAAATACTTAAAAAAGCAAAAATAAGTAAAAATAATAATGGGCACAAAAAATTATCTCATAAACACTGAAACTTTTTGTCAAATATTAATGGAAGACAAAGAGATAGTAATAGCCGCTTTTTTAGAAAGCGGCTATTGATATCTCTATATAGAAGGGGCATTTAATAATGTTACCATCAGCTCTTTGATAAGGGCTATGAGTAGACGAGACGCACCTGCGATAATATGAAGATGGATAAGGGAATCCCTGGAGAATAGAACAATAATGTCCACTCTGGGTAAAGAACATAAGAAAAGCCACAGAAGGCTTTTATTGTGTCTAGGATATGCTAACGATATAGCAATCGTTGTCAGGGGCAGGCTTGCTCAGGTGGTGTTTGAGAGGATGCAAACAGTCCTAAATATAGTTGATGACTGGTGTAAACAAGATAGACTGATAGTCAATGCTCAGAAAACACAAATCATCAACTTCACCAAAAAAACAGCACTACAAGGTCTGAATCCACCGGTACTTGAAGGAACAGAGATTTCATTTGCCAAAGAAACAAAATACCTTGGGGTATATTTTGAACAGTAGCAAACCAAATCATGGAAAAATACCACATTGTCCTGTCGGAAGCCGCCCCCTTCCCAGCGCAAACCACATTGGCCCGCTGTCTACCAAACTCAGAATTACTGCTTGAAAACCATAACGACCCGAAGCACTTATCGTCAGACATTGCCCTAAGGAAAGCCGCCCTAGAGACGATACACACCAAGTACCCAGCACATGAGTGGCTCCACATCTACTGCGATGGATCCTCGATGCCGGACTCGGGAAGAACAGGAGCAGGATATGTCTCAACGTTATTGAAAGGCTCTATAGCTGTGGGTGCCCCTCTCACTAACTACGACGGCGAAATTGCTGCTATACACGAAGCTGCAAAAAATCTAGAGAATTTCCAACACCCCCAAAAAGTTGCCTTCTTCATCGACTGCCAAGCCGCAATCCTCGCCCTGTCGACAAATCGATACACTGACTGTGCCAAAACAATATCTTGCCGCGTCCAACTATCGAACTTGATGGAAAAAGGGTGGCTGATTACTCTACAATGGATCCCTATTCATGTCGGTGTTGAAGGAAATGAAGCGGCGGATGAACTTGCAAAAAAAGGCACTACTCTTCCACAGCCCCCTAGCTCCCAATCGTACACATCAGCAAAGTCTACCATTAGAAGTGGAATCAAAGCGAAGATAAAAGAGCAGCAAATACAAGCCGGTGCTGGAAAATCTTGGGCCCACCTAAGTGTAGCCGTGTTCAGAACAACTAAGGGACATGACTACCTGGCCTTCCATCTACATCGCATCGGCGTCCGCGAAAATGACAACTGTCCACTACGTGATCAGCCCCAGATGGATGCTGCTCACCTTCCAGAGTGCTCAGTCCTGAAAACAGACCCACCCGAGGAGTGGGCGTTTGCTAGTAAGTAAGTAAGTAAGTAATATGTTGAACATAGGCTTACATGGAATACTCAAATTCTGAGAACCACATAGAAAGCTACTATGTCCCTGGGCAAATGTAGAAGAATGTGCGGTAAGAATTGGGGACTTAACCACAAAATGACTCTATGGTTATACACAAGGGGTATTAGACCCATGATAACCTCAGATGGCTCGTTGACGTAGCAAGTGGGAGCAATAAGGCTGCTAAGGGAGCACAAAGGCTAGTATTTCTGTGTACTCCTACATGTATCTACATGCACAGTTATCATACACATGCGGTATCTAAAACAACTCCTACTGCATCGTTAGAAGTCCTGTTGAATCGACCACCAGTACATAGCTTTATACAGGGTGAAGCCAGATCAGTGATGCACAGATTAATCCATAGTCAGCGACATATAAGCCAGATGCATATAACTGACAACAGAAAGCTAATCGACGAGCTAAAAGCCATTATTTAACAATAAGTTCACAATTAAGATACCAGACAGGGAAGAGTGGAATAAAGGTGTACCCATACAAACTGCTGCTACCTGGTACATGGATGACTCAAAAACATCGGAGGATGTGGGAGCCGGCATAGTAGGTACAAATCAAGGGATAAATTTCCCAGTAAGTCTATCTAAGTGACAGTTTTCTAGGTAGAAATAACTGCAATCCATCACTGCGTGGAAGAAATAGAAAGGCAGGAAAGAACGTTCTGTACAGTTGCCATCTTCACAGATAGTCAGGCAGCGCTTAAGGCACTCAATTCTGTAGAGGTCAATTTTAATCTAGTATGGGATTGCGTGTGTGCCCTAAATAAACTCGAAGACCATAGCAAGGTTGTGATAGCCTGGGTACCAGGGCACGAGGGTCATAAGGGCAATAAAAAAGCAGATGAAATGGCCAAACAAGGCTCATCAATGCCATTCATTGGACCGGAACTCTTCTGCGGCGTTGCAAAGTCAGTAACAAGAACGGCTACAAGGAAGTGGGTAGCCCACAAATCTCTGGAATGGTAGAGGAATTCACCAGAACAAAGACAGGCAAAACAGTTCATAACAGAACATTTGCCAAAATTTACGGCAGACCTAATAAGCAAAGACAGGAAAACAGTCAAAGCCATAGAAAGTCTTTTAACAGGGCATTGTAAGCTGAATATGCACTTGAAGCTAATGGGATTATCAGATGATGACCTGTGCAGATTCTGTCGCCTCAAAGAAGAAACAGCAGAGCACATTTTATGTTAGTGTGACAGTCTGGCAAATTTGCGGTTCTTTGCATTAGGAGAAGAAAATCCACCGGCAAATAGCTACATGGAAGTTACAGTCTCGAAGCTACTAGACTTTATAAAGAGGATCAGGCTACAGAATGTTATCTAGGACTAGAGGACCACAAAATATCTGAAAAGGTCGCAGTGGAATAGGCCGAAAGGCCACTTCTCTTAATCTAATCTAATCCAATCTACATGGGGGAGGGAGAGTCAAAAATCTTTACGAAATACTTGAACGCTCCTTTTTGAAACTGTATATACCACAGATGATTATATTCACCTAAACTAACTTAAAAGTTATCTATATTCTATGGACATTAAAAGTGTATTGTATTTTCTTTTTCACCTTAAAAATAATCGAGAAAAGAGCATTCATATCCTACAATTGATAATAACAGTAAAGGAAAATAATTTTAAAGTTATAAAAAATCTGAAGACCAATTAAAGAAGTTTTTAAAAAATATTCCATAAAATATAAATTTACAAAGATGCGTTACTTACTTTAATGGGGTATGCCGCATAAGATAATTGTGCCAAACACAGCACGGCGAAAGCAATCAGTGGCTTCTGCATTTTAAAAATATACCTTGCGAAGGGTCTTCACAGAATATTGGTTATTGATAGACTGGCTCCAAGAATTATTTTAAGTGCAGATTCGAATATTCATCCAGATTATTAACTTATCGAAACAATCCAAGGCTTTTTGATTTCCTTAAATAATTATAAAAGGAAACAATAATTCTGTTAATAAATTTTATCACAATAAATAATTTTGATAGCAAAATCTAATTATAAGTAGAACGACAAAATCACGTTAGAGGATATTGACTTTATGGTTCTACATTTTTTTTTATTAACCGCATCAACCACTGAGGATTATTAGCGGGAAAACAAAAGACAAGATGAAGTTAGGGGAAGGACAAAATACCATTGTAAAATTATACAGCAATTTTTTTTATTTAAACACAAAACCACATCACCGCGCAGTGGATATAACAAATACGAGAAATATTACATTAAATATAATTGAATAACTTGATGTCTTTTAAATGGGTTAACATATTTGTTTGTCAGTTGATCTGCTTTTTTATTTCCGTAAATACCTATATGTGAAGGTTGTAGTTTCCAAGAAGAAGGGGTTCTGAATTGAGTAGACTTTTCAGTACTCATTCGGGAAAACACACTCGGAGGGGGGTAGTTCTCAACCTCAACACGGCACGCCCCAATGGCGGATAGGAATAGGACCCATACAGATATGTGGGACAGGTGTGAATAAGGCTTTGTCAAATAAACACCCGCGGATCAACTGAGAGCATGGCATAGGGCAGTAGCTATGTTGTTACAGGATCGGAGCGGTAGAGAAAAATCTCTTTGTCGGTCTGATGCTGAATAATCACAGGCGGTAATTATGATTTAACCAGTTGTGATACTGCGAAGTAATCGAACGATTACCGGTAAAAGTAATCCCCTCTTTGTTGGTCAACAGCTGCGGGTGGAAGTCGTTCTCAAAATACAAACTACAACTGTTTGTATTTTGAGAACGATTTCCGAAGTGGAAATTGAAACGTCAAAATAAACGTATTTTTATCTTTAATTGTGGCTTATTTCCAGTTAAATAGTAATTAACGTAATTAAAATTTCAAAATAGAATTTTACCAAAATTTTAGGAATCCGGATGTCCCGGAACCCTTGTCCGGGACGCCGGGACACGACTTCGTAATTCGGGCCATGTCCCGGATTTTTCGGGCTGTGTAGTTGGTCACACTAACCATAAATAATGAATAAGTCAGGTGACAACACGTATCCTTGTCTAACACCTCTCTCTGTCTTGAATTATTTTAAGAACTTCTCATCTAGTCGTACTGTTGCTATATTGAACTGGTACAGATTTTTAATAAGTGTCACCAGGTGCATTGGTGTGCCCATTTTAATTAAAATGTGTCACAGATTTTTCCACCTTACACAATTAAATGCATAGTAGTCAACAAAGCATATAATCATTGATACTTGAAATTCTCTAGACTTGTCAATATCGATACATTTTTGCCAAAGTAACGTAAGTGACCTTTTTGGCGAAAATATTGTTTTTCAATTAAACTAATGCTATTACTGTTAAAAAGGCACTGAAGGAGTGTAGTAAGCCTAGAATTACTTTAAACCTTTTTTAGGACAAGTAGGACAAGTTTTTTCAGTCATAATTTAAATAAGTTTAAGCAGGTTGAATTAAAAAATTGTTTTTTTCTACAAATCGAAATCGTTTTTGGTGACTTACGTTACTTTGCCAAAAATGTATCGATATGTTGTGTCAGGTTCAGGATTTCTTCCCATGTACCTTTACTCTTTACAAGCCCCGCTTGTTCCAATTATTTGGTAATGTGGATAGGTTTTTAATCTGTTTTCGATGATATGCAACAATATTTTACTAGCATGTGTCATTAGTGACAGTGTGCGGTAGTTTTTACATCTGGTAGTAGTTCCTTTTTTTGTGTAGCGGGGTATAAATTGAGGTACACCAATCAGATGGCCATTTTCCTGAATTCCAAACAGCGACACAGATAGAATGGATGATATGTTATGAATTGTTACCTAGTAACTGTAGTAATTCACCTGGTAGTGAATCAATGCCTGGGGATTTATTTCTCTTTAGTGATTTAATTGCATCTTTAACTGCAGTAAATAAGACAGTAGGTTTTCTGGGGTAGTCAGAGGGCTACTGATTTTCTGCTCGTACCTCGTTATTTTTATAGCTCGCCACAGTAGTTTGGCCATGTTTCCAATATTTCGTCCGTATCGGTCTTTAGATTACCTTTCTTATCTATTACAGACCGGGGCTTAAGATTCAACTTCTCTGGTAAGGTGTCTGATCTTCTGAAATAAATCCCTCGGTTCCTTTCGACAGCCATATTCCTCTATCTCTCTGCATATTTGAGAGATGTAATCAACTTTGTCTTTGCGGCACTGTTTTCTAATTCCTTTCGATAAAGCTTTCTATTCATCGTTTGTTCCGCATCTAGTTTTATGTTCTTTTCTGCATTTAATTACATGTATTATCGGATATCCACGACTTACGGCCCGTTGAAACCGCTGCCTCACAGTTTTTTGCAGCCTACTTGGTCTAAAGAAAGAGCTTCTTCCAGGTTTTGTTGCAAATCATTGATTTTTGATGGATTTAGAGACATGACATTTTTTAGGGGTCTTCTTTTGGGGACTCTAAAACGAAATCGAACGTTCAATACCAGGAGTTGATGACCGCTTTTACAGTCTGCGCCAGGGTATGTTCTACAATTGATGGCCAATGACTTCCATCTTGATTTTGTTAGGATGTAGTCTATTTGATTTCTTGTTCGTCCATCTGAGCATGCGTATAATATCCGTGGATGATGTTGATAGAACGTGTTTGTAATTGTAAGATGTTCTTCACAGAACTCCACTAGACGGTCGCCATCTTCATTTCTCTGTCACCATTTGAGCAACACACTGTATATTTAAGCAAAAAGATATCATCGGGTTGCTTTGCGGTCAAATCAGTTGCTCACCATTTAGATTTCAAGATTGCAAAAAGTGTTTATGTGGCCCTGATTAAATCTAATTTGAGATACGGTATTGCCTTTTGACGTTAAGAAAAACAAAAACAATGATTGTCTCCAAAAGATCCATCCATCCACCCATGGCTTTAAACGTGAATGGTAACATTATCGAAAATGTCGAGAAATTTCGATATCTAGGGTGCTGGATAACGAAAGATATAGATCCAGACATAGAAATAAAATCGCGAATTGAACAAGCAAGAAATGTCTTTTTAAAAATGAAACAAATGTTTACGTCCCAAACACTCAATCTCAAAATCCGATACCGAATGCTGAAATATTACGTTTACAGCACCTTACTATATGGAATGGAGGCCTGGACCTTCAAAATCAACTCACTCAGGCGTTTGGAAAGTTTTGAAATGTGGTTATTTCGAAGGATGCTGAAAGTCCCCTGGACAGCGCATATGAGCAACGAGCTGGTCCTACACAAGATGGGTACCGACAGAGAACTCTTAAAAATAATGAAAACACCGAAAACCTCATATTTGGGACACATATACAGAAATAAGAAATACCAGCTACTGCAGCTTCTTATAGAGGGGAAGGTAGAAGGAAAACGTGGTCCTGGTAGACGGCAGGCGTCCTGGTTGAAGAACATTCGTGAGTGGACTGGTTTTGATTCTCAATCTTTAATAAAAAAAGCCAGGGACAGAAATGATTTTGCTGAGGTTATCGCCAACCTTCATTGAAGACGGCACCCAAAGAAGAAGTATTGCCTTTTGGGGTAGCTGTTCTCTTCATCATTTCAGTAGAAACTTTATGCTTCAAAAGAGAGCACTCAGATATTTATGCAAGGTCAAGTTTGGTACATCATGCAGGCCTCTGTTCCGGAAAAATGGTATCTTGACACTTCCTTTCATATATATATTATTATTATCCCAGATTTAGCCATACGGCTCACACTCCCTCTAAGGGGAAAATTCACTCATCCCAGATACCTACGGTATCAAAAGGATTGAGCTCTGGTGGGACTCTTTCCATGTTATCGAGTCCTAGGTGACTTGGTACGTCGGTGTATCTCCCAAAAATTTTCGCACGCATCTGGAAGTCGAAAGTAGCACAGATTTCTGCATGATCTTATATAGATGTTCATTTAGACCCAGCTTTTTTATGTTTTCTAGGAGGTTCTTCGGAATGACTCCAGTGGTAGAAAGAATAATAGGTATCGTCTGGGTACTTTCCATTCTCCATTGTCTCCTTATTTGTATTTCCAGATCTCTGTACTTGGCGATCTTTTCGTTGTACTTAACACGCAGATTATTGTTGTTAGGTATCGCCACATCGATTAGAGTTGTTTGTCTTGTTAGTTTATTAACTAGCACGAGATCTGGTCTATTATGTGCTACAGTTTGGTCTGTGAGCACAGTGCGATCCCAGTATAGCTTGTAGTTGTCATTCTCAAGCATACTCTCTGGAACGTATTGATAATATGGGAGATGGTTTGTTTGTAGAAGTCCCAGTTTAATAGCTATCTCTTGATGGAGGATCTTCCCTACTGAGTCATGCCGTTCCTTATATTCAGTTGCAGCAAATGCCTGGCAGCCTCCGGTAAGATGTTGGATCGTTTCTTGGGCTTGACATCCATATCGGCATTTGTCGTTTTGGACCTGAGGGTCTTTGACAATATATTTCAGGTAATTTTTGGTTGGTATAACCTGATCCTGAATGGCGAGTAATGAACCTTCTGTTTCAGGGAACATCTTTCCTGATGTCAGCCAATAGTTCGACGCTATATTGTCGACATAGTCTTGACTGACCTCATTCGGATGTCGCCCGTGTAGAGGTTTACCCATCCAGATGCGCATTTTTTCGTTCTTAGTAAGATGGTCTATGCGCATTTCTTGTTCCCTCAGTTTGATCGGTGTTGTATCATCTACTGCACAAATCGCGCGATGAAGAGTAGATGTCTCCGCCTGCACCTGAAAATAAGTTCTTAAATTAGTAATCTGTTATTATATTATATTATATTATATTTATATTATA